TTAATATATTATAAAATTATATATTTTTAATAATTAATATAAAAAAATTAATTAAATTATTATATATTTATAATAATAATATTTTTTCAAATTAATATTAAATATTATTAATAATTAATTTATATTTTTCTTTACTAAAAAATTATTATTATTATAAATAATAAAATAATAAGTATTTATTATATCTAAAAAATATAATTTTAATAAAGTTATAATTATTAAAAAAACTATTATAAAAATAGAAATAAATATAAAAACATTATAATAATTTAATAACTTAGAAAGAGAAAAATAATAAATAAAAAATAAAAATATACTTAAATAAACTTCAGAATATTGAATAAAAAAGCTGAAAGATATTTAAAAAATAATTGAAAAAAAATAAAAAATAAAATAAAATTAATTTATAAGAAACAGTAGCATAGAAGTATTAAAAAAAGTTTAATCTTAATATAAAAGAAATATAATTAATTATTTAATAATTTTTATCATTTAATAATTTTATAAATTTTTTCTTAATTCTTCAATTTTAAATCTCAATATCATTATTAATAAAGCTATAATTTAACTTATAATTAAAAATTTAAAATTATAAGAATTTTCAAATTATAAGCAAACTGCTTTGAAATATAAAATCAATCTGATTATATTAATATAATGATATAAAAATAAGTGAATCTACAAATTTAATATGATATTAAAATATTACAAAAAATTAATCAATTTGTAAAAAAAATACTTATTTTGTATATAAATTATTTAATAGATTATAGTCTTATTTTTATATTTTAAATAATATAAAATTTAATTATTAAATTTTTTAAAGAATTTATTAAAGAGTAATAAGTAAATTAATTTTATTTATATTATAAAAATAAATTAAAAAATATTTATTTATATAAAATTAATTAAAAATAATAGATTATAGATAATTTTAACTACTTTAAAAACTATTTTTAAATAAATTAATTAAGTATTAACTGTCTTTTTTTATCAGATTTACAGACTACTGATAAAATAACTCTAGTTTTAATTAACTTACTTTATTATAAAATATAATCTTAAACTATTAGATATTTATAACTATAATAAAAAAACTTTCTAATTAAATTCAAATATATTATTAAGTATATTATTTCAATTAAATCTCTGAAAAATAAAAATATTATAGTAGCTCAGAATAAAAATTAAAAATTTATCATTTTAATTATAATTATTATATAAATAATTTAAAAG